AAATAAATATAAAAGAATGGCATGATATCATAATAAGAGTAAAATAAATTCTCAAGTTCAGAAGCTAATATGAATAATCAATTTTGAGGGCAGCTTTTTTTCCCCTGAAACCTAAATTGGGAGAAAGGAAGATCAAAGCAGGGTCAGGACCTCTAATTTATTTTTGCAGAATGAAATGTAATGCATATAAGTTGCTGTGAGGTTAATTTAAGTTTAATATTAAGAATAAGTTCCTAAAAGTTAGGATTGATGAAGATGAATGCTCATGTTAAGTGATGGTGAATTCCTGATCACTGCATGACTTCCTGTCAAGAATGCTGTAGAGGTCATTCTTGCTTAAGTTTAGATTGAACTAGATGATCATTGCTATTTTTTTGTACCTGAGATTTTATAATTCTCTCAAGCTTTAAGATTATGAAAAATATTCTTGGTTTGTTATTTTCATGGATGCTTCTATTGTTACTATGTACATGGAAAATGCCTTTTGGACTTAACTAATAGTCTAAAAGACTGAAACAAGAAAACTAGATAAGTTACATTTAGAGAGGATGTTTGCTTTGAACTAGAAGAAGCCTGGTTATTGCTCTCATTAGATGATTACAAATATATCACAATGAAAAATTAACATTATGAGTACTTAATACTCACAGATTGTTTTCCAATTCATACTGAAATACCATTACAAGGATTTTAGTGATAGGGGGAAAAAAGGTCCTGGATTGCCTTCATTGTCTTGCCATTTTCTTAACAGTAACTGTAGACAAGAATGAAACAAAGCAGATATTTGTATGATATTCTTTTCCCTTTCCATTAAACAAAAGCTGTTCAGAGATCTTGTGAGAGCTGACCTGATTTAAAACTCTACAAATCAAAGCATCACTTTTTCCAGGAAACTAAGGCTGATGATGGTAAAGGAAAATAACTGGAAGCAATAGCTACATGCCTGAAAACAGTGCAATCTACAAGCAAGTCTTCAAAGAATACTATGAAGGAAAATATTAAAC